TAATTTTTAAAAATTGCTTATTTAGCTGAGCGTGGTAGCACACGCCTTTAATCCTAGCACTTGGGAGACAGGCAGGCAGGCGGAGCTCTGTGAGTTCAAGGCCAGCCTAGTCTACATAGTGAGTTTCAGGCTAGCTGGGTCTACAGGGAGATACTGTTTCAAAAAGACATAAATAAATAAATAAATATTTAGCTCATTAAAACAAATATACCCCTCCCCCCAAACAATATTCAAACTCTCCCTGACTGAAAAAAAACATAGATGGAGGGCTTACTGAGAGCAGGCATTACCATGACATTCTCCTAAAGTGACCACATGCTAATTGCTAACCTCAAATGCATGATTCAATTATTTCAAATAAGATCTAAAAATATGTTTTAAGAAGTAAACTTTCAGGAATACAGATATATTTATATAACTATACTGATCTAAACTCATGTATTTAGAAAGACTCTTTTTCCCTAATTTTTCATAGTGAAACAATTCTGTTCAAACTCTTCATATACAATTTTTTTTTTTTTTCTTTTTTGAGACAGGGTCTCCTTGTAGCCCCAGCTGTCCTGGAACTCACTATGTAGACCAGCTGGCCTTGAACTCACAGAGGTCTGCTTGTCTCTGCCTCCTGAGTACTGGGATTAAAGGCATGCAATACCATACCTGGCTTTGTCCTCTGTTTTTTTAAACATTTTAGGGTTACCTCTTCAGAGGGGGGAATACTAGAGTAGCAAAAAGCCCCATTAAGAAAAGAAAGAAAAAAAAGGGAGGGAGGGAGGGAACACGAAGTTGTCAGAAAAAAAGTGATGGGAGGTATGGAGGGGAGGGATTGGGTGTGGATTTGATCAAAACACCTTATATGCATGCATGAAATTCTCAATAAAGTTAAAAAAATTTAATTTATTTGTATGTGTGTATGTCTGTCTGTGTATATGTGTGTTGGGGCACATATGTTCATGTGAGCTTGGAAGCCAGAAGCTGGTGTCAGATCCCCTGGAAATGGAGTCACAGACAGTTTTGAGCCCTGTGACCTGGGATCTGGGAACAGAACTGATACTCTGGATCTTCAGATATTCTGAATCTGAGCAGTAACCTCAACTACTGAGACATCTCTCCAGCCCCCTAGTATTTCTCTTTTACAGACACATTTATTTCACTCCAGGTTCATCCACACTGTAGTATATAGCAGAATGTCCTTACTTTTTAAGACTAAATTATATTCATTCTCTCTCTCTCTCTCTCTCTTCCTCCCTCCCACCTCTCAAAAAGTAGTCCTGGATGACCTGGAACTCACCATGTAGACCAAGATAACATTCATCTTACAGAGCACTACCTGCCTCTGCCTCCAGAGTGTTGGGATTAAAGGTGTACATCACCATCTCCAGCCCTGATTTAATTAACACAATCACAATGTCCTCAGATAAGCTAAAATCATTTATTTATACTGTTTGACCTTTCTTCCTACTTTTTTTTTTTTTGTCTTTTTGAGACAGGGTCTAGCCTCAGCTGTCCTGCAACTCACTATGTAGACCAGGCTGGCCTTGAACTCACAAAGATCCGACTGCCTTTGCCTCCCAAGTGCTAGGATTAAAGACGTGTGCGCCACCACACCTGGCCTCTTCCTACATTTTTTTAAAAGTACTTTTTTCCCCTAAGTTTTTCCTCTTCTGGAAGATTAAGCTAAAACATTATTTTCTCTAAAATTTCCCCCATATTTCAGAATATAATGACTACTACAGTAAGATTTCAGTTCCATTTTCCTAGAAGTTCTTAAAACTTTTGATTTTCAGTTCTTTATGTACTTGAAGGTTGAGGACCCCAAAGTATTTTTACATGGATTGCATCTACCAATATTTATTATGCAAAAACTCATGTAGCATTACCATGCCACATTATAGTTAATACCTGAATAAAACAGCCTGCCTCTTAAATTTAGTTTTTAAGAGTGGGAGGACAACCACTCCCCCAAATGTCTCTTGGAACTGTATTCCAGAACTATGCTGCTGGAACAGTGTCTGGAACAATGTTAGCCCTCATCCATAATTCTATTCAAAACCCTTTCTCCAGCTTCAGTTGGGGAAGAACATGCTTGGATCCAGCCTTTTTTTTCAATCAGACAATCTGGCCCTTCCATCCCTAGACCTTAAACATCTTAAACACACAGTCAAGCAATACTTCTCCATCTTCCTTGTTTTCAATAAAGAAGCATGCACTGCCTTGTAGGGCTTTGATTTGTTAATTCTCAAGCACACCCACATTCATTCTTTATCTTTTTGGGTGGAGTCACAAATTGAGGTTCCCAGGAAACAAGATCAGATGCCTAGTTCACAAGAGCACTTGAGGTTCAGTGAGTTTGCCAAGATCAATTAAAAGTCATTAGTCTAGATCCCAGCATGGTGGTGCCCCCCTTTAGTCCCAGCACTCCGGAGGCAGAGGCAGGATCTCTGTGAGTTCAAGGCCAGCCTGGTCTACATAGCGAGTTCAGGCCAGTTGCGGCTATAGGGAGGCCCTGTCTCAAAAAACACCAAAAAGAAAAAAAAAAAGTCTTTAGTCTAGATTATATCCATTTTATGTCATTTCTACAAACTCAAAAGTGAAAGAAAACTAGCTATTTATTGATTCTTCTGTCAATAACAACAAATTATATGTCAACATTTTTATTTAAAAAAAGACCCCCCAAAAAAGGGCTATAGGATGGTTCAGTGGACAAATGTACTTGCTGCCAAGCCTGACAACCTGTCTGATCCTCAGGACCTAAATAAACAGTAGGTTCTCTGACCTCTCTGAATGTGCTCTGGCTCTGGAGCAAAATCATATAATAAATAACTGCCATATATATATTTATATATATATATATATATTTTTATGTATATATCACAAAGTAGGAGACTACCACCCATCAAAGTAGCTTCTTTTTCAACAGAAAAGAGATTATTACAGAGTTACATCACTGGTCACACAGAGAGAGCCTCTGCCTCCCAAGTGCTGGGATTAAAGGCATGCGCCATCATGGCAGGCTAAATAAATGCAATTTTAAAAGCATTTTAATTAAAAAAAAAATGTGTGGGGAAGAGTTTAACAGCTTTGCAAAATTTTAAAAAGCCTGGGTTAAGAGAAGACAGCTGGATTCTCACTGCTGCTCCTGTACTGTGTGAGCAGTCATTGCCAGGCAGTCCAAGGAGGACTCCACCCAAAAGGATAAAGAATGAACGTGGGTGTGCTTGAGAATTAACAAATCAAAGCCCTACAAGGCAGTGCGCGCATCTTTATTGAAAAGGAGGAAGATGGAGAAGTATTGCTTGACTGTGTGTTTAAGATGTTTAAGGTCTAGGGATGGAAGGGCCAGACTGATTAAAAAAAGGCTGGATCCAAGGTTGTTCTTCCCCAATTGAAGCTGAAGAAAGGAGAATTTACAGAGCAAATCAAAATTATGTTTATTAGCTAAAATAGTTGTAGCCTCATAGAGCCTCTCTAAAATCACTGTTTGCTTTTTTTTTTTTTTTTTTTTTTTTTTTATCAATGTAGCCCAGGCTGGCCTTGAACTCTCAGAGAGATTCTCCTACCTCTTCCTCCTGAGAGCTGGGATTAAAGATGTGTGCCACTATGCCCAGCGATTAAGCTTGCCTTTTAAAAATCAATTTTTTTTAATATTAATATTCTTTGTCATGAGACTGGGCCTCTCTGCTACCTTTAGCTTTTCTCAAATTTTGGTAACACTAGGTATGTGTTGAGAGTATGACAAGTCCAACCTGCCAGCAAAGAGATAAAATGTGCTACCAGGCAGGGCACCCTGACAGCTGGTCATCTCAGCAGTCACATCCTCTTTCTCATGGAATGTAAGTGTCCTTATCGTCCCATTGCACAAAGCATTTCCCTGTATTCCCTCTCAGGAGGATACTATCTTAGTTTAAAACCAAAACAAAAAGCTGGATGTGGTGCTGCATACCATTAATTCTAGCACTCAGGCATAGGCAAGGAGATCTTTGTGAGATCAAGGCCAGCAAAATCTACATAGCAAGTTTTAGGCTAGCTAGGGCTATAAGGAGACCCTGTCTCAAACTAACTAAATAACTAAATAAATGCAAAAATTTCTTCTTTTGTCAATGTTTCTTTAGTCCCACTTCTTCCTTATATTTTTCTCCTCAAATATATCCTGCAGTGATTACTTCATACAGTCTGTGATACATTTTAAGGACATATATTTCTTTTTTTTCTTTTTTTAAAATATTTTATTTTTATTTTATTATTTATTATTACTATTTTTATTTATACTGCCTGCATGTATGTGAGTGCACCCGTGTTGTGCAGTGCCATGGAGGTCAGAAGAGGGCTTTGGATTCCCCTGGAACTGGAGTTAAGGATGGTTCGTAGCCGCCATGTGGATGCTGGGAATGGAACCCGGGTCCTCTGCAAGAGCAGTCAGTGCTCTTAACCGCTGAGCCATCTCTCCAACCCCCAATGCCATATAGTTCTAAAAATGTTCTGACTTTGCTCTTTCAGATTCCTCCTAAAGTAATTTAATTTTACAAATACAAAATATGAAACCTATCTTTACATCTAGTCTAAGGCTTTCCAAATTATCAGATTTATGCCATAAATCTCCTATCAAAATTTGTTTACAACTCCATTTTTTTTTTTTTTTTTTTTTTTTTTTTTTTTTTTTTTTTTGGGTTTTTTGGAGCCAGGGCCTCCCTATAGCCCCAGCTGTCCTGGAACTCACTCTGTAGACCAGACTGGCCTTGAACTCACAAAGATCCACCTGCCTCTGCCTCCTAAGTGCTGGGATTAAAGGCATGCACCACCACACCAAGCTACAACTCCATTTTCTAAGTCAATCAGTGCCTATTCAAGAATTTGAATAGCTCAATCTTAAATATTCAGTATACCATAGAAGTTCAAGGCCAACCTGGGCTATGTAGATTCTGTATGAGAGAGAGAACCAGGAGAGGACCATTAACTTGCAAGTGTCTTAGAGCAGGGCTCACTACTAGATAGTGAATAAAGCTTGCTTCTATGATTCATTTTGAAAGTTTTCCATGGTATTTTAACTATAAATGGGGAAAATGTTCAGGAATTGAGGGGGTGGGGTAATTATTGTCATTTAAAACTTAAAAATATAAGTTCTATTTAGCTAAGTTTTAAGAAACAGGTTAGTAACGAGGATGCCTGTATTTATTTTTTATTAATATGTGTGTGGGGGCATGCATGCCATAGCATGTGTGTGGAGGTAGGGGACAACTTGGTGGAATTGGTTCTCTTTCCACCTTTACATGGGTTCCTGGAATTGAACTCGGGTCACCAGGTTTTTGTGGCAAGCACCTTTATGAGGTGACCAGCCCAGCTTGTATTTATTTTTAAGTAAGATTACACAGTGATTTGTATGCAAGGTAAAGTTTGAGAAGCTACAGTGAACAAAGCTGATGCCACCCAATTAGCATTTATTCTTAAATTCCTCCTTAAGAGATCTTGCTTCTTCCAACTCCCACCCCTAACTCCACTAGGAGTCTGATTGGCCTGGGATAATGTCATTCCCCTGATCAATGACTTGTTTAGAAATGAGTGTAACAACCCTATTTGGGAGAATGAGACAAAATGCAAGTTGTCCTCAGATCTGCTTTCAAAAGGTTCTTCTGTTCCAAGAGTCAGAGTTTCTCTGGACATGGTCCTATCTGAAGGTGAATAGTGAAAATGGCTACACATACTAGTGCCCAAAGAATGAAGAATGGGAGGCATTTTGAGGGGTATTAAAAACTAGAATGAGGTTTCTAATTATAATTGATCAGCTTTGCAATCTTATCTGATAATGTAAACAATATTCCAGGTATTTTTATGGCATAATAGAATATCTAGTAAGTTATTAAAATAGCAATCACCTCAGAGACATAAACTAGAAAAATGAGTGTATATTCATAGCACTTAACATTTAAACTTATTATTTAAATATGCAGAATTTTTTAAATTACCTTTCAAAAGATGATTCAAGTCCATCGTATCGTGTAAGACTTTTTGTTTGGCTCTGTGGTCTAAATTTGAATCTAAGGCTGATTTTGGAGCAAGATGCAACCCATGCTTTTCTTTCCCTTTTTTGGATGCTTTCAAAGATTTTGAATCATATTTTAAAACTTCAGCATCCTCATATACACCCCGACTCACATTTTCTTGCCTTTTAACTTTTACTTTTTGGTCATTTGATGGACCCAGTTCAAAAGACTGGACAGGGCTAATGTCTGGAGTTGACAGAGGAGTTACATCTGTTACAGTATCTTCAGATTCCTCAGTGTTGTCATCAGTTTTTGGTTTACTACTTGAAGGTTGTGTGCTTGTGGATCGTACTCCTGATTTATATTTCTGTTTTGGTGATAAGAGGGTTACACCAGATATATGTTTCCTTGATGATGAACGTGAATCAGGCTTTCGGATATCAGATCCTGTATCTGAGCAGTCTGAACCTGAATGTGAAGATGAGGAAGACAAAGAGGAGGAGGAACTGATTTTGGAATACTTTTTGTTTATGCCTTTTTTAAAGTTATTAGATGGTTTAGCTGATTTGGACCTCACATGATGCTTTTTCCCATCATCGCTGCTTTCTTCTCCATCTGTATAATAATCATCCTCACATTCTTTTCCAATTTTAGGAATTATACTTGGAATGGGCAAGTGTATTTTATGTCCTTTTGTAGTGTCACATGATGTTTTTGATCTTGAAGAGGTGGTCAATGATGAAGAACTTCTTGTTCGTGTAGAGTCATTCTCTACAGGGTGTTCCTTTGAAGACACTTTTGCTTTTCTTTCATTTCCTTTCTCAGTAAGGTAATTTTCCTTTGCTTGTATTCCAAATTTCAAGTTTACATTTTCTGTGTCATTATCTAGTCTCTCTTTATGGTCATTATTCTGCATTCCAAATTTCAAATTTACATTTTTGGTTTCCTTATCTATTCTTCCCTTAAAGTCATCATTTTGCTTGTCAAACACTAAATCACTCTCACATTTCTTTGCATCTTCAAAATCACTGTCAAAGAAAGAGTGGTCCACTTCACCTTCTGATATATCTCCAAATCGATCCATGACGGTAAAGCTATACCTGAAAAGGAATAAGGTTCAACCATCAGACTGAAGAGTGATTTCTAAGTACTTTTCATTTGTATACATTATTTTTCAAAACTAAGAAATGTGGTTAGTATCCAAAGAAAACTATTACAAAACAAAATAATTCAGTGAAGTAATGATAGACTTCTAGGGGTAGAACTCTATACACAAACAGCAGTAACTAATAAACCCTAAGGGGGGGCGGAATCTTCCTTCTAGAAATAAATTAGAGTCTAAAATAAGGAAGGACAGTGTTTTAGCCAGTTGTTTGCCACTACAAAATACCTAGATGAAATAACCCACAGAAAGATTTATTTTAACTCCTGATTTGACCCATTATGGCCTGAAAGGTGTGGTGGAGCAAAGCTGTCCAACTCACCGCATCTAGGAAGCAAAGACAGGAAAAGAGACCAGGACACATCATGCCCTTCACAGACACCCTAGTGATCTACTTCCTCCACTCAGGCCTCAATTTTCATTGTACCACAGTCTACCAGATTTTAAATCCATAATTAGGCCAAAACCCTAATCATCTACCCATCCTTCAAAACTCCCTCACAGATATACTCAGATGTGCTCTGCTAATCAACTAGGTTATCTCTCAAATCAAACTGACAACAAGATTAGCCATCACACATATTAAAGCCTCACTGGATCAGCAAAGCCAGTTCAAACACAAATTATTCTGGTGGTAACAGTACAAAAAAGATGAACAATTTTGGCATTTTACTACTTGTTCTCTTTATTCTATTCTGTCCCTTACTGCAGTCACTGAGGAAGAAGCACACGGAATCCTATTAAAAAGTCCTTCATCATTTTCTTATTGTTTTTTTTTGTTTTTGAGACAGGGTTTACCTGTAGCCCCAGCTCACCCAGAACTTGCTATGTAGACCAGGCTGACTTTGATCTTTTATCTCAGAGATCCACCTGCCTCTGCCTCTGCGTGCACGAATCAAAGACATGCACCACCATGCCTGGCTGTCATCCTTTTTAAAAGGTTTTTTCCCATTTACTTTTAACTATGTGTTATATGTATGTGTCTGCATGTGGGTATGTGCACATGGGTACTGGTGTCCTCAGAAGCCAGAGCTATTGGATCCCCCAGGAGCTCGGAGTTATAGGCAGCTGTAAGCCACCTGATAGATTGCTGGGAATTTAACTTGGGTCCTCTGGCAGAGCAACAAGTGCTCTTAACAGCTGAGCCATCTCTCCAGCCCCCTCTCATCCTTTCTTATTGAAGATCAAAAACTCTAAGGTGTACATACAAGTTGCAAAAGTAGCTTGCAATCAAATTTCTGAATATCTAATCACAAGCTGTAACATACCACAGGAAATATTACTGCAGAGGGATATTTATGTTTCACTGCATTAAAGGGGTCTGATATAAAAGATACTTTACAGGGCTGGAGAGATGGCTCAGTGGTTAAGAACACTGAATGTTCTTGCAGAAGACCCAGGTTCGAATCCCAGCACCCACATGGCAGCTAACAACTGTCCGTAACTCCAGCTCCAGGGGATCCAATAGCCTCTTTTGTCCTCCATGGGCATTGCACGACATGGGTGCACTTAACTACAGGCAGGCAATACATGCATACACATAAAAATATAAAAATAATAAAATATTTATAAAAAGATACTTTACAGCAAGCAACCAACTGTCTAAAATTGAAAAATAGCACTATTTAGACACAGAAAATTAAATACTAGAAGAAATGAACTGAACTTTCAAGTAGTTCTTTTAAGTAAGGCACAGGGAACACAGTATTAATTACTGACCTTAAATTACTTAACCTATAAATTTATATACCTGGTACAATGATTTAAAAAGTTTATGTAAAACATCTTACTAGTTTATGTAAAACATCTTACATAATTAGAACTAACTTGGAAACTATGTTATAGCCTTTAAAAATTATTTCTTCATCTGTTATTACAGACCTAAAGGTAATGTCACTGATAATCTTGAGATCGGTATATTCAAATATGCCTGTAGTAGCAGTAATGAAACCATGGAGTCAGTTGATTTGTCCTTATGAAAAAAATACCTAAAGGCGTAAACCTTTAGTCCCAGTACTTGGGAGGCAAAGACAGGCAGATCTCTGAGTTCCAGGCCAGTATGAGACATAGCACATTCTAGACCAACAAGGGCTACACAGTGAGACCCTGTCTCCAAACAAACAAACACCAGAAATCTCAGATTTTTTTTTTTTTCGGTCTTTTTGAGACAGGGTCTCCCTGGATCCCCAGCTGGCCTGGAACTCACTACATAGACCAGGCTGGCCTTGAACTCACAGAGATCCACCTGCCTCTGTCTCCCCAGTGCTAGAATTAAAGGTGTGTGTCACCACTCAACCCCAAAACCTACTTCTTAACTGAGGGGTCTCATTCAAAAGTTTGACATGTCACTGGCCTATGGAAATGAGAAGTTGTGATTAAATGATAATGTACGGTGATATGGTAAGAGAATAGAGTGAAAATTTAAATTATGAGTGGTATTGGAGACAGTTTCAAGTGTAATAGGAATATTACATTGTCTAGGAAAACTGCTTTCCAAATGGATGAAGGTCACATTGAAATAAATCAAGAGAGTCTAAAAACACTGTACTGTCCCTTACAGGAGAATTATTTTCTTAAAATTTGGAGAAACTTTAAAAACAGACAAAATTATTAAGCTATAAAATAGATTACAAAGTGTGAAGAAATGAACATATCTTAAGCATAAAGAAAACAATTTTACCTGCTAGATGGACCACTGGATAAAGATACTACCAAGAATGAGGAACTGAGTTTGATCCTCAGAACCCACATAGTGGAAGCAGAGACCCCACTCTTGCATTGTCCTCTGATCTCCACAAGTGTATACACAACACACACACACACACACACACACACACACACACACACATATAAAACATTAGAAAAGGAAAAAAAGCAATTTTACTGTCATAATAGTGAGAAGTTTCTATTATAATAGAAATTTCTACTAATGGTTTGCTCAATACATCTTTACTAACAGACATGACTATCTCATTGACTGTGTGTTTAATTTTACTAGGAAATATGTTAATAGAAAAGCTTAAATTTGGAATAGAGAGATAGCTCAGTTGGTAAAGTGACTGCCTTGCAAGCATGAGGACCTAAATCCAATTTTAGGATGCCTAGGGCTGAAGAGGTGAAAACAGGTAGATCTTTAGCACTTGCTGGCCAGCCAACCTGACCTATTTGGTGAGCATTAGGCCAGTGAGTTTCTGACCCCAAAGAAACTGAACTGCACCAGGTGGACAGTAGTTGTTATCCTTTGGCCTCCACACATACAACAAGGCTCAGGGGGGAGTGGAGGCACAAGACTGCAATCTTAGTAATCAGAGACTGAGATCTCAAGCTCAAGGTCAAATCTTATCTTAAACAACAATAAAAAGTTCAGCTGAAAAAAGCAGCAGGTCAGCAAATGGAAAGTTATGAAAACAAAAACTTGGTATGCTTTTATGGCATGATGGGTTAGCTCCACACGGCATGAGACAAGCTGGGTTATATTTTGATTGGTCAAACAACTTCTTGAATCAAGGATATAACTGAGTCTAGCAAAGAGTCTAGAATCTAATGATTTACAGAATAAGGGTCTTATTACAAAGTAATTACCATGGTAAAGAGACTGTTCAGACACTTTCAGTGAAAGACTGTGATATAAATAAGATTCTAGACTGGTTATTTGTCATTCCAAAAGTGGAACTTCAGAGAGGACGTATCCAAGAAAGCTATTCTGAATTGAAGAGAACTGCTCAAAAATGGAGTGGGTTACCAAGACCATGAGTCACTAGATGCTAGAGCAGACTGGAGGAAGTCTTGCTGGGGGCTACAAAGTGAACTCCCTCATTAGAAGAATGGGATCTATCCTGTCCCCACACCATGTCTAAATTCCAGCCTATCTACAAGTCACATGGCTATGGAAACTTCTTTGAAATCATTTTTTCATAGCTGACCCTACCATGCAAATCAAAGAGATCAGAATATACCACCCCAAAACATGCCATTTTAGCATAAGACTCAGTTTGAGCTGGACAACTGAGAATCAACAAATACAGATAAAAGCCTTCTCGGAACTTCCCTTAACTGATTACAGGCAGACTTTTGAGCAAAGAGGGCTGCTGTAATTCCCCTCATTGCATCAAGGTTTCTGGCCATGAAAATCGAAAGGTTTATCTCCCTAAAACCATTTTGTCATGTCTCCACCATCAACAGATATTTCTTCATCGAAAATTATACATAAACCCTCAGGAATGTGTCTTTTCTAGGAAGGCCCGAGAGCAGAAAAATTAATATCAAAATGAAATTTTTGTAGCTTTTTTTTTTGGTCTTTTTGAGACAGGGTCTCCCTGTAGCCCCAGCTGTCCTGGAACTATGTAGACCAGGCTGGCCTTGAACTCAGAGATAGGCCCGCCTCTGCCTCCCGAGTGCTGGGATTAAAGGCGTGCGCCACCAAGCCCGGCTTTTTTTTTTTTTTTTTTTTTTGTAATGTGTCTTGTCTATTTCTAGGGTCTAACAAGCAGAGCCAGAGGGAAAAAGGTTTTGTGCAAAGCCTTCTACACTAGTTGGTGTGTGCTTATAGTCCCAGCCACATGTGAAGTTGAGTTTAAGAGGATCACCTAAGCTCTGGAGCTGGAGACCACCAGTTTCTGAAACATGAGAGGGAGGGAGGGAGGAGCACACAAAGAATTTCGATGAATGAGTATCTCCATTTTTACCAGATTGGGAGCTAATGATGGCCTGTCCTGCTCACCTTTATATGCTGTGTCTAAAAAAACCTACAAAAATTAGTCATTTGAAGAATGCTTATCCCACAGAGGAGCAAGACCTAAGACTGAGCCCTTGGTTCTGCTTTGTTTCTATGCAAACAGTAAAAGTGCCAGGTTTTCTGCCTACTTTCCCTGATAATTTTCCTCCCTCCCCTCGCTCCACATACAATGGGCAGCACTCGACCAACCGATGTATGCAAAGTTTTTTCTCGTTAAGATATATTGACAAGATCTAACAGCGGTTATATCATAGACTTATGGTGATTTAACTTAATTACTAAGAAAATGTATCTGACAATCTCTCATCCACTAAACAATTCTTTTGTTAAAATTTACTTCAAAGTCCCTGTAATTCAATTTGCATTAGGGAATAAATATGAAAAATGATGATTTCATAAGATAATTGCAAAACACAAAACACTGAGAAAGAGTAAAATCGAAGGACCCAAAACGGGTCTCTGTCTAAGCTGCCTGGAAGTCATATGGACGGGCACTAGGTTAAACTCATGCAGAAAGAGCCACAGAAATACAGCTTTCAGCCAGGCACGGTGGTGCACACCTTTATTCCCAGCACTCGGAAGGCAAAGGCAGGTGGTGGCTAGCTCTAAGTTCAAGGCCGGCCTGGTCTACATAGTGAGTTCTACGCCAACCAGGTCTACATGGTAAGACTCTGTCTCAAAAAAGAACCTGTCAAGAACTGTCATTTTGTTCACGTATGACAGTCCATTTCTGTCGATATATATAATAGGGCCCCGAGATGATACTCAAATTGGGCACACAAAAATCTTGGCCCAAAGCGAGCACCTGTTTTTGTGGCGCCAGGTCAGGACCTTGTCCAGACTCCAGGACCTAGACGTTATTTAACAGCTCCTCAGGCCTGTGGGTTCCGGCTCGGGTTCAAGGAGGCGGCGGTAGGTAGCAGTGGTCAGCGCTCACATGTCAAGAAGGACCCGACCCCGACTCCACACACCCGCGTCCTGAGGGTCGGACGACAGTTTCCTCCCGGCAGGGCTAGACAGCGTAGCCCCACGCACCTGGCCGTCGCCTTTGTTTCGGTTACACGCTGTCCCCGGAGCTAAGGCGGCGGCGCGGAGCGCTGGGGAGTGTGGCGGGGCCGCCTCCGACCTCCCGCGCAGGCACGGTGGTACCCACCCCAGATGCTCGCCGCCACCGGGCTCCGAACTGAGGAAACGGACCCCGAACGCAGGGAGGATGACGCGCTCACCGCCCGCAGGGAAGAAGCGGAACCCGCGTGCCCCTCACCTGGGAGCCGAGACCACTACAGCCCCTCGGGCAGACGGGGCGTTCACCTGCTCGCTAACTCTGCGCACGCGCGGCCACGCCTCCAAGCCCTCCCTCCGCTCGACGCCGCTTCCCTCAAAGCGCGCTAGCGGTTGGTCGGGGCAGTAGCTTCCGGGGCTGAGAGAGCAGAAGGAGGGGGTCGCCGCTTTCCGATTCCAATGGATTCTGTTACAGAACTCTCGCCCCGGGCCTGGGAGCCAGCGGCTTCTCCGCGGGCCTCCGAGGACTAGGCGAGTGAACAGAAGCCCATCACGGCCTCCCTGCCAACCCGGTCCCCGGTTTCGTCGGTGGTTCTGCTGGCCTGCCCGCGGCACGTCAGGAGGTTTCGGCATCCTGGATGATTTCCTGGAAAGGTGTAACGATCCTGTAGTAACACAATAATAAAAATAGAAGGCGAAAGTGTTTGTTGTCATTCGTATCAGCAAAGTGTTCGTGGTGGCCCACGCCTTCATTGCCTGCACCACAACGGGAGGCAGAGGCAGGTAGATCTCTTGTGTTCAAAGCCAAGTTCAGTTCAAATCACTTATATGTACCAGGGACTGGTAGCCCATGAAAGAAGGTCCTCTTCCTACCCGTGATGGAAGTGTTCTCAAAGTAATCTAAGAGGAAAATGACTGCATACTCTTTTTTTTACCTTAAGATGAACTCTCAGGCAGATCGTAGGGATAGGTATATTATTCCCAAAATGTCTAGGCCCCAGAACACACGGATGTTACATATGTTCATGCATAAGGAGCTTAGCTGATGTGATTAAATAGCAAAAGGAAAAGATAAACCTAGAACATTCAGTGAGCCCATTGTAAGCACGTCGGTCCTTATAAAAGGGGGAAGCAAAAACTTAAAAGGCAGGAGCTGGAGAGGTTAAGAGCAGTTAAGAGCACTGACCGCTCTTGCAGAAGAACTGGGTTCAATCCCGAGCACCCACATGGTGGCAAACAACCATCCATAACTCCAGTTCCTGGGGATCTGAGGCCCTCTTCTGACCTCATGGGCATTGCAGGACATGATGCATTTAACATACATGCAGGCAATATACTTGTATGCGTAAAATAAAAATAAAATACTTTTTAAAAAACTTAAAAGTAGGAACTGTGATACAGAAGAGGTTGGAGTGATGTAAGAAGTAGGCACGAGCCAAGGCATGCAGCCAACTCTGGAAAGCTGAAAAGACAGGAGAAATGGCTTCTCTGCTGAAGAAGTCAAACCTGACTGGATTTTAAACTTCTGACCTCCACAGCTCTTCTTACAGCAATAACAGACACTAATATATAGGCATTCAAAAAATATAGGAAATTACAACATTATACTCTAGGGAATATCACTGTATTTGTTTTATCTTTGCTGGACAATACCTAACACAAAGGAGGAAAATTTATTTTGATTCAGCTTCAGAGGGTTCAGTCTTTCATAGCAACGCAAAGAAATTCATGTAATAGTGGGGCTAGAGAAGGATTGGCATACAAAAGAGGCCAGGGCAAGAGAGAACCCAAAGACACATCTCCAGTGACCTCTTTTGTCCACATAGCCCCCACTTCCTCTCACCACCTCCTAAAAATGTATATGAATCTATCAAGGATTAAATCATTAATGAGCTTAGAGCACAGGGGACCTAATTGTCTCTTGAAAGTTGATCACAGACACAGTTGAGCCTCACTAATTCGCTAGGTGTTTCTTAATCTAAACAAGTTGACTATCAACCTTCACACTCAATAAAGAACTCTTCATGTGTTGAACAATGCATTTTGTATTTTCTTTGTCCTGACTACCAACAAGTACAGAGAAAACATCTTTCTTTTTTCTTTTGGCTGAAAGAAAGGATTTCACTAAATTTTACGTAATGAGACTATTTTAGCATCCATTCCTAGGGTAAATGTCTACCTGGTAAATTTAATATTCAATGGATTTGAGTGGACATGTCTCTAAAGAAGACAAACAAATAGCCAATAGCACAGGAGAAGATAGTAACATTAGTAGTCATTAAGGAAGTGCAAATCAAAATCACATTGCAGAGCCTGTGAGATGGTTCAGTGGGTAAAAGTGCTTGCCTGATGACCAAAGTTTGATCTCCAGAACACACATGAAAAAGCATATCTGAGGCCAGGGAGATGGTTCAGCACTAAAATTGCTTCCCAAGCAAACCTGAAGACCTGAGTTTGAGTCCCAGATCCCACTGGGGAAGGAGAAAACTTACTTCTCAAAGTCGCCCCCTGACCTCCACACCTGTGCTGTGACACACACATGCACCCCCCCACTCACACACATCATACATACACACAAAAATGATAAATCACACTGAGGTACTCTTTAGCCCCCCTAGGACAGCTATTATTAAAAAAAACACTTTGCAAAAACTAAGATAGGTAACAAAATGGCAGGCTGTCACCCTTCTGATCAGAACCCTTGTGCACTATGGGTATGTAAAATAGAGCAGCACCATAGGAAATTCTGTGGCATTTCTTTAAAAAAAAAAAAAAACCACAGAGAATTATATGAACCAGTGCCGAGACTCCGGTTTGCTTTGCTTAGCGGGGGAGCTACTGGCTTCGGGGCAGAGGGTCTGATCGGCAACAGAGTCATAAACTCTGGGACCTGTGTCTTCCCAACAGGACAATTTATTTTAAAATTCAGATGGTTTTTAATACATCCCAAGGAACTAGCAGTCACATGGGATATGGCAGTCACATACAAAGGTTTAGGGCACAAAGAAACAGGACATTTAGTCTGTTAGTTGGCACCACAAGTTTCTTAAACTTTTACTCAAGGTTATCAATGCCCATCCAGTAATTTATTGGCCACAATGTTTTCTTTCTTAGAGCTAAAAGCATGGTGAACTCTTAGCTTTTAGCTCAGGAGTAAACCTTTAACCTGGCCTAATCTCTTAGCCAGGAATAGCTGAGAAATAACTCAGCTCAGGACAAGGGGATGAGCTAAGTGTTGTTGACCAAGACACTTTCCCACAGAGCAGGGAGCCTGCACTTTTATGACTGGTCCGTTTCCTCCTGCCAGTCTAGCAGTGTTCTGCAAGACAGGGATTATCAGAGCTACCATTTTCAGTGCCCCTCCCTTTGGCAGAGCATGCAACCTGGACCTATAAGTTTTAGGCTCACCTCACCCCAGGGCCTGGCATCCTGGTTTCCTACAAACCAGCAATTCTATTTCAGGATTTCTGCCCAAAAGCATTGAAAGCATCTCAAAACAGTTATTTGTACATCCACATTTATAGTAAAATTATTTGAAATAGCCAAAATGTAGAAACTACCCAAGTGTTCATTAACAGATACAATGTTATGTGTTTATATACATACAATGGATTATTCAGCCACAAAAGGGTGAAATCCTGATACATGCTATAACATGGATTGAGTGTAAAATTATAATAGTAAATGAAACAAGCAAATATTGTGTCATCCCATTTGATGAAGCTTAGAATAGTCAAATTCATGAAAACTGAAAACAGAATGATAGCTGAACAGGGCTGTGAGGGAGGAAGGAATGGGAAGTTGATAGATGCAGTTTCTCTACCATGTAGCTGATACAAAAAGTTCTGGACCTGGGCATGGTGGCGCAGACCTTTAATCCCAGCACTCGGGAGGCAGAGGCAGGTGGATATTTGTGAGTTTGAGGCCAGCCTTGTCTACATAGTGAGTTCCAGGACAGCTGGGGCTACAAGGAGATCCTGTCTCAAAAAAGACCAAAGAAAAAATAAAAAAGTTCTGGAGACGGGTAGTAGTGATAGTTAGAGCACATGAGTGTACAGACTATTCCAGAACTGTCCATGTTAAAATGGCTAAGATGGTAAATTTTATAATGTTTATTTTACTATAAAAGTAAAGAAATTTATTCTTTTTTTATTTTTATGTGTGTGAATGTTTTGCCTGCATGTATGTAAGTGCACCTAAGCATCATATCTGGAACTGGAGTTAAGTATGGTTACTAGTTGCCATGTGAATGCTGGGACTGAACCTGTGTCCTCTGGAAGAGCAGCCAGTGCTCTTAACCACTCAGGCATCTCTCAGCTCCGTAAACTGATTCTTAATGTCAGTTCTTTTGGAGGTTCATCCTTGTATGTTTTTCCTTCAGATTTCTATAACAGAACCCCTAAGACTGTGTGACTTGTGAACAGCAGTATTTATTTTTCACAATTCTGGTGGAAGGGAGGTCCAAGAGCAAGGTACCTGCAGGTAAAGTGTCAGTGAGGTCGTGGTTCCTAGTTCAGAGATGGCCCCTCCTCTGTGTCCCCTTACTTAGTGTAAAAGTCAAGGCAGCTCTCTTGCTCCTCCATTTAGGTAGCCTAGGCTGCCTTCAAATTCACTGTATAGCTGAGGATGGCCTTGAACTCCTGATCCTCTTGGAGTGAGGAATTACAGGGCATGCCCACACTTGACTCTTGGGCTCCCTTTTTAAGGGGCACTAATACCATCCACACAGGCTGTGCCTTAATGACTTAATCACATCCCAGTGGCCCCACCTTCTAATAGCAGCTAGCTAGTAATTAGGTTTCAAGGTAAAAATTTTGAGGGAGACTTAGATATTCAGAGTATAACAATCTGTATTTTGCTACTCACAAAAATACAGTGAAATAGCATTTAGATTAACTCAGAAAGCTTATTAACCAATATGAGTTTTGGGGGCATGAGATATCAAAGTCACAACTTAAAATTTGCCAATCACTGATATTGGATATCAAAGTCTAGATGAGTTTATAGTTTTTTTATGTTTCCTAACTTGAAAATATTAGTGTATTAATAAAACTAAATTATATGGCTAGGATCTTTATTATCACATTCCCAACTGGCAAACATAAATATTTATTTTCTGTGTCCCTTGTTGCTGGCCTCACTCAAGAGTTTTTCTCTGTCTCCTAAGTAGGAGAGAGAGCAGTTTATGAGCATTATCAATTTCTAGAGCCAAAAATGGGAACTTTAATATTCTCTCAGTGATAAATCATACATCCTACTGATTTGGGCAACCAGCCAGATGATCCACCAGAAACTGATTAATGTATTCTGAAAAAATGGTGGTAGGTCAATAAAAGAATGAACAAATGAATTATATTTACTACTAAACTGCATCATGTAGGTACTGGAGAGGTGGTTCAGTGGTTAAGCAAACTTGCTGCTCTTCCAGAAGACCTGAGCTTGGTTCCCAACACTCATACCAGGTGGCTCATGGTATCTCTTAACTCCAGCTCTAGGGGATCTGATGCCCTCTTCTGACCTCCAAGGGCACATATACAGATACTATATTTGTTACTTTTCTGTTGCTGTGATAAAGCATCAAGACCAGTAGCAACTTATAGAAGAAAGAGTTTATGGTTCGAGGGCATAAGAATCCATCACGGTGGGGAGGCCTGGCAGCAGGCAGCAGGCATGGTGTCAGGAGCTGAAAGCTCAGACATCACATCTTCCACCACAAAAACAATGCATACAGAGAAAATGGAAGTAGGGTGAGGCTATGACCTCTTAAAGCCCATTTCCAGTGGCATGCTTCCTTCAAAAAGGCTATATCCCCTAAAGAGTCCATGACCTCCCCAAACAGTTGCACAAACTGGGGGCCAAGTGTTCAAATACTTGAGCCTATGGGGAACATTTCTCATTCATACCACCACATACACATTGTGCTGGATAGCTTTAGTGTCAACTTGACACACCTGGGTTGAGGGAGCCTCAATCGGGAAATTGCCTCTATTGGACTGGCCTGTGGCCATGTCTGAAGGGCATCTTCTTGATGAGTGATGTGGGAGGGCCCAGCCCACGGTGGGTGGTATCACCCCTGGGCAGGTGGGCCTGTGTTGCATAAGAAAGCAGGCTGAGCAGGAGCCAAGGGAGCAAGCCAGTAAGCAGCGTTCCTCCATGGCCTGTGCTCCAGCTCCTGCCTCCAGGTTCCTGCCCTGAGTTCCTACCTTGGGCTCCCTGATGAACTGTGACCTGGGAGATGTAAGCTGAATAAACCCTTTCCTCCCCAAGTTGGTATTGGTCAGAGTGTTTTGTCACAGCAATGAAGAGAAAAAACCAGGACACACATACATTTACAGAAAAACCTTTAAAAAACAAAATCACATGAAGACGCCTCCTTATTTTCTTCCTAGTGGACCTTATGATTTCCTTTGCCGAGGGGATGTTAGCAGACATCACAGCAATAGTTTAAAAGAACTTACATATTTGCACCCCTGGCATTGCCATGTGAAGAAGACTAAGCTAACTTCTTGGAGGATAGGAACACAGAGCAGAGACAAGCCAGCTTGACACGTTCTATACACAAAGTATTCCCTATAGACTGTGTGCCAGCTGACTACAGCTCTATTAGTAACCCCAGACAGGAAGAACAGACCCCCCCCTCCCGGCAACTGATCGTGGCCCACGTCTGACCCACAAAATCCTGAATAAATATGATGACTTATCTCAGGGGGGAGGTGGTAATTTATTGTACAAACCTCAGTGATCACAATCCATGCACAGGGTAGAAGCCTACCCCTTTACAAAGTAAAATAAAAATCATCAGTGCTGGCTTAGCCGCGGGACAATTTGGGCTCTGAGGCAGTTTTCTGACCGTGGGTTTAGCTATCTCCAGCTCTGCATTACTCTAGGGAACTTACTGATGGGGTGGAACAATCATGGTCTTGAGTTATAGAATTGGCTTTCAGTACATGTTAGACCAGTTTCCCCTTAACTAACTCAAGTTATAGTCACTTAATACACATCAAGGGGCTAGTGAGAGTGCTTCTGGTCTCCCAAAGCAACAAAACTAAACATTCTAAAGCCTGGGACAATGGTCTTAGACTTGCACATTTAAACCTGTTTTTTGGACCTCTGTAATTTGGGATGACAAAATCATGGAGTTCTTCAGAAATGCCTTAGTACAGTGGCTAAGTTTACAAACTGAAGTGAGCCCCATGTGCAGTGATAACACTCCTAGCTCTAATGTGTTCTAGCTTTGTGATGTTGAGTAAGTTACATTACCTCTGGTGCCTCAGTTTCCCCAGGTGTCATTGAGCATGACAGTATCTGTCAGAGTTGTGAAGGTGAATGGTCTAGTGCTTAGCATGGCAGAGTCATTTTTGGCATGAAGTATCCCTTGTCTTCTTACTTTTTACTTACAGGTGTTGTGATGCCAATTCATATTAAAGAGCAAAAAGCTAGCTGGGCATGATGGCACATGCCTTTAATCCCAGCACTCTGGAGGCAGAGGCAGGTGGATCTCTGTAAGTTCAAGGCCAGCCTGGTCTACCTAATGAGTTCCAGGCCAGCGTGGGGTAAAGGGAGACTTTCTCAAAAAAAAAAAAAAAAAAAAGAAAAAAGCTTTATAAAAGAAACGTGAATGTTTGTTTTTATTAGTTACATAAAATAATTCACATGTGTACTATTTTTGTTAGAATTAAATGGTAGGGATTATTTTTAGACCTCTTCATCTCCCACTTGAAGTCCATGTGCTGTTCCAGGGAAGTTTATTGTGAAGATCTGGAATGAATGCATGGGGGGATTGTTTGTGTACTTTAATGTCTTCTCTTCTGAATAATAATCTCTTGGGTATACTTTATCTTAAAGAAAGTTTACTTCATGTGGATATTGAATTTTTCTTTTGTTGAGATGCCACACTGCTACAGATGGAATGATTCCTTTACAGAAAAAAAAGTGTAGTCATAGTATCTGAAACTACATTCTTAAAAATTATTTTTATTTTACCTGTATGAGTGTTTTGCATGCATGCGTGTAAGTGCACCCATGCATGCAGTGCCCATGGAGGCCAGAAGTGGGCATAAGGCCCCCAGGAACTGGAGTTATGGCTAGTTGCTAGCTCCCATGCAGATGGCTGGGAACAGAACCCAGGTCCTCTGCAAGAGCAGCTAGAGCTCTTAACCATTGAGCCATCTCTCTAGGCCCCTTAAACTACATTTTAATGTTTGTGTTACTTGTGTGCTTCTTGGAAAGCAATATAAACCCATTTATTAGAAAACGGTGCAGGTTTTAAGATGTTGGAATTCTTCATTAAAGTGTCATGAGGAGTTTCTAGGCCTTTGCCTTTAAATAGTTTACATACACTTCATTTCTCATGCTTGCCTTCATTTGTTTTCGTTCTTGATTTGCCTCTACTAAATCACCCCTCCCTGTTAGAAAAGAAATAACCAATCTCTTCAGAAGTCCTTTATTTCTGTTATCCCTCAAAGACACATTTGCTGTTTTATTGGTGTTATGGGTACTGTCATTGTCACTCTTTATGCAGCTTTTGGACATCGTCTGTGTACTACCGGCTGGAACCACGATAGAAGAGGCAAATATAAACTCCAAAAATTATTTGGACCACTCTCTTTTGCGTGGGAAACAGCATTTGTACTGAGTTGCTGGCAACAATTACCCAGAACTGGAGCCAAGTTGGTTATGGCAGCTGTGTACACTTTCTGGCACCAGGCGGACTTTTTTTTGGGGGGGGGGGCTTTCTGTAAGAAAGTAGGAATCAGAGGCTTCATTTACTGCTCCAATTCTGTCTCATTCCCTACCTAGGTGGCAGGTAGGAAAGGGGAGGCGGTGAGGAATGATTAAAAGTGAGGATCAGCACGACACGGGTGCACTCACATACATGCAGGCGATACACTCATAAAATAAAAATAATATATTTTTTTAAAAAGTGAGGATCAGGAATGGTATCGGTAACAGTGGGCTAGAAAACAAAGGAGACATTTGGTAGGGGCTGTACGCAAGGCCAGGAAGATACTGGTGGGCAAAAATTAAGGGATCACCTGAGCAGAGAATACGTTTGCTTCTGACACCTGCAGCAAAATTTTCCATCAGCTGATGGCATCCCAAGAGGTGAGGAGGAGGGGGAGCGCGGGAAAGAGCAGGGTCGGCTGCGATTGGTCGCGCCCCTTCCCGGGTAGCGGCCGGCCCCGCCCCCGCGCCGTGGGTGGGCGTGGCAATCCCGCCCCGCTGTCACTCAACGGTCGCCGTTCCCCGCCCCCTCGGCCTGCCACGTACTACGGGCCGCCCCCGCCCCCGCGTGCGTCAGGCCCCTCTGGCTCCAGTCACCTCACTGTTCCGCTACCTGGGCACGCCCGGCCAGCAGGGGCAACTTGCGGGCCTGGCGCGGAGTGGTGGCACCCAGGGCTCGCGGGGAGCTGCGCGGAGGCGTCTATTGGACCCGTTCCCGCGGAGGGCCGCCGGCGAGGGCATGAGCGCGGGCTTCCCGAGCCTCGCGAGCGGCGGCGGGAGCGGCGTGGCGACGGGGCGCCGCGCGCAGGCCACTGTCCGAGGCGGCGCCGGGGGGCAGCGGGCCGGGAGATGAGCCTGTGGTTAGCGGCCCAGGCAGCAGCATGCACCCGGATGCCACCGACAGCAGCGCCGTCCGCCTGGGCCCCGAGTCCGGCCGTCCTACCCCGGGCTCCGCGGGCGTACGTCGGCGGGAGTCCCGGGGGAGCACGGCGGCGACCGGGGTCCCGAGCGGCGGGGGCTGGCGGGGGGCAGCGGCGATCTGGGCGGCTGGGGCAGCCGTGGCCGCCGTGGTCCTGTGCTGCCTGGCCCCCGGCTGCTGGTCCGCGGGAGGCGCGGGGCCGTGCGTCCTGCTGCTCCGCCTCAGCCTGTACCTGAGCTGCGCGGCGGCCGCCTTCGTGCTGGGGACCCTCTTGGCGCTTGTCTGCCGGAGCCCGCGCGCCCCGCCGCCCGACTTCGCCTCTGCCTGGAGAAGGCTGGCCGCGGCCGTCCGCTGCTCGCTGGGGGTGAGTAACCGGTCTCGGCTGCTTCGCGTGCTCGCGGCCTCCAGTCCGCGCGCACAGACCCGGCGGGCCCCTGCGTGTCCCTCCCGGAGCCGAAACCCGAGGGGGACCCGGCGCCCAGAGCTTGGCGGAGGAGCACGTTTCTAGGCTCGGTAGTTACTCCTCTGTTCTGGTCCCAGCCTCGAGCGCCCCACAGTCTAGGCTGATCTTCGATGTGGCGGTGCAGTTGGCCAGTGCAAGAGAACCGGGAACACAGCACCCACAACACGCAGGCATCGCACTCAGCACTGGTGATCGCATTTGGTTCTTGGCTCCATGGTCCGTGAGAGATAACTTTATGACTATTTGCAGATGAGGAAACTTGGGTTAGGTCACCCAGTCAGAACCCAGTAGCTCAGGCCCCTGTATACTTCCTAACGCAGGATCGGTCCTGCCTTCCACCATGTTGGTTAAATAGTAATGCAGCCCAGGCTGTCTGATTGGAAGAGGGGACGCCAGGAACCACTGCAGTTTGCCAAGAGAGGAGAGCTACCCTCAGCGAGGTCTGGGACTTGAGGGCTGTGCCTATGGAATGTAGGAAAGAACTGTAGTTTTAACAAGTTTTTCTCTCCTTAGGAGCCCAGGCAGACCTATTTCTTTGCCTGTGCCTTATAATAACCCTTTGAAAGAACCTTCTTGTTATCCTAGCTTGACTGATAGATAACATCAGAAAACCGAAATCGCCCAAGTGCTTTGGGGTCAAGGGAATAGCAGTGGTTCAACTTCCTAAAAATGTTTGTTAGAATGACTACTGTCCCCAGGGGTTGTATTTGCTTATGACCTGAGCTGTTTATTCTTTTATGAAAAAGCTTTCCACTCTTCAGAATGCTTCTTCCCAGAGCCTATCAACTGGAATGGCATCCTCGCTGGGTGTGTTGCTAAGTGAGTCAGGAAACTTGTCATCCGCTGTCTTAGAAACGTTCCTAATGTTGATTTCTCTTAAAAACGTTCACTCAGCTGTCCATTTTTCATTTGTAACTTAGAGCTGATGAATAGATGTGTTCCTCCCTTTGCTCTTCCACTTTTAAGAAGAACCCTTTTAACATCTGTTTGTAGAACTGTAAGACATGTCACAGTTCTTGAATGTTATAAGAACTCACACTAAGTTCAGTACATATTTATTGAGCATCTTTTATAAACCAAGGCTTATGTGTTCTGGATGCTGGGGTTGAATAAGTAAAGTCCCATTCTCTGCAGATGATACTCCTGTGAGGGACCAGACAATAAATATGGTATTTTGGAATAGTGATAACTATTCATGAAACAAAAAAGAGATTACAAGCTAAGTGATTAAGAGTGAATAGTAGGTAGAGGAAGGAAGTTTAAATGGTGTGGTCTCCGTCAAAGGCATGATGTTGTCACCTCCTTCCCAGGTTCAGAAACCTCATATTATGCATCACTACTGTTTCCTACACATCTCCAGGCTCACCAACTGGATTTGGTTCTGGGTATGTAAAATTTGGGTTATCATCTAGAAAGATGGTTTTTCAGCAGAATTAGAAAAAAATAGCACTTGAAAGGTGACAGAAGAAAAACAGCATACATAGTCTCAGGTGAAGTATAACCGATTATTGGTCATTCTGTTTGAACTTGAATTCCTAGCTTTAAATAAGAGAAATAATCGGGAAATTACTGGGTTATATATTAAAATTGAAATGCATGTTAGTCACATAGAATTCCTTTTCCTTATACTGATGCTGTTTCTTCCAGCCTATAGTTTGCTGTATTTGCAATAATTTGAGTTTTTTTAAACAAGTGTTCTCTTTATGAATGGAAGGCTGGGAAGCATGAACATGTGGTATAGTATAAAGTATCTGTCAGTTTTGTGGGGGTAGGAGCCGGACTACACAGGTCATTTAACATATGTGGAGGGGGAGGCTGTTTCGCAGAGAACCAAATGGAGTTAGTGTAACAGTGACTACTGCAGAAGCTTGGATTCAGTGTAAAAAAAAGAATTATCTTTCCTTACATAGTACATTTTGAGTTTTAAAAATATGAATTAGATATGGTACTGGTACTCATCCCCCCCCCCATTTTCTTTTTTCTTGGCCATCTTACATGGAGGAAAAAAAACACATGTTAAAAGTAGGCAACTACTTGTTTTGTGATTGGATACGGAGGCTTGGTATGTTGCCCTGACTAGCATTGAACCACTCTCTCCCCCTTTTAAAAAATATCTTATTTATTTTATGTGTATGAGTGTATTGCCTGTGTGTAAGTGCACCGTGTCGTGCAATGCCTGCCGAGTCAGAAAAGGCGTTGGATTCCCTGGAACTGGAGTTAAGGATGGTTGTTAGCCACCATGTGGGTGTTGGGAGAGTGCTGCCTGTATGTATGTGTACTGTGAGCATGCATAATGGGGTATATGTATGCGTGTGCACATATATATCAGGTGCATTTACTTGTATCAAAGGCCAGAGGTCTTAGTGGTTCTTCCTCTTTTGCTCTCCTCCTTACTCTTTTGAGATAGGATCTTTCGCTGAACCTGGAGCTTTCCATTGTCATGCTTCTGGATGCTTCACTGTGTTCTCAGTTGTAAACTTAGTTAGAATCTATGATTGACACTTTATTATCCCTTGTACCTAATAGGAGTTGAAGTCTCCTCAAATGTTTGCTGGTGATACATAGGAAAATCAGGTGTGTGTGGTCATACTTTGTGCTTTTCCTTTCCAGTTAATCTAGTATCTACTGGGCATCTCATGTGTGCACAGATTTTGATTTTACTTCAGTGAGATCTGCTACTGATTAAAAATAGTAAGAGTAGATTCCATCCTAGACAGAGATTTCATCCTAAATGTCCACTGGTGTTGGGGGAACTAGAGAAACTTCTGTGTCAGTTTGAGATCAACTCCAAAGCCTTGATTTCTAATATCTGGGTCCTACTGTGACAATTTTTAGTTCCATTTTGCTGAATGGAGTGTCAGTGTAGTATTCCTAGTCCGAGGTGTCATTTTGTATTCTTCTAGGTCATTTCACTTGTTTGAATTTGCACACTCAGTAGCCACAGGTGCTGGGCACTAACACTTGATTCAGCCAAGGCAAGACGAGAGAAATAGGGCAAGAATGAGCCAGTGGTTTAGGAAAGCAAGTATTTATTTTTTGGTCATTTTAAGACATGGTCTCCCTGTAGCCCCAGCTGGCGTGGAACTCACTATGTAGACCAGGCTGGCCTTGAACTCACAGAGGCTGTCTCTGCCTCCCAAGTGCTGGGACTAGAGGTGTGTGCCATTGCACCTGGTGTTATTATTTTTTATTTTATGTGTATGAGTGTATTGCTTGCATGTGTGTAAGTGCACCCATGTTGTGCAGTTCCCGAGGAGGTCAGAAGAGGGTGTTGGATCCCCTAGAGCTGGAATTATGTGGGTGCTGAGAATTGAACCCTGGTCCTCTGGAAGAGCAGTTAGTGCTCTTAACCCCAAGCCATCTGTCCAGCCCCATGTCTTAATTTAACAGTTTGCTAGCTACTTTAAAATTTTTTATTGTTTGCTGACAATTTACAATTGTGTATGTATATAGGACATAAAGTGATATGATTTATGAACACAGTGTAGAATAATTAATTAACCTTAGTTGCCTCAAATTCTTAATGTTTTCTACTCTAAGTACTTTTTGATTTATACCTCACAGGTTCAAAAATGAATGAGTAATTAATTAAGGAGGGTTGGAGAGTGAGTACAAAAAAGTCCACAAAAGTTAGGTGGATGTTAGCATGTGGGGAACATGAGACTATGGCCATGTGAAGAAAGCTTTGGAAGACTAAAAAGTTCAGCCAAATAGAAAAGTTTAAGAAGTTTATCAAATCAGATTAAGTGTTTACTGAATAGCTGCCACATAGCACATATTCAGATCTTGTTAGGTGTTTTTTTTTTTGGTTTTTTTTTTTGGCCAGCTTAGTTGCTTAGTGCCATTGCTGGACACGTGGTATGCTCTCAGTAGATGGATTTTGTTGAGAACAAGTGTAAATAAATATCAGCTGGCATTTTTAGGTCTGAAATTCCAGCTTCCTAGCAAAGGGTGAGAGCTGTGCAATGGAAGCATTAAGAGCTTGAATTACTTTTTTTGTTTTTTTGTTTTGAGACAGGGTCTCATTGTGTAGCCCTGGCTGGCCAGAGATCCTTCTGCCTCTGCCTCCTAGTACTGGGATTAAAGGCATGCAAATTACTGGGGGTGGGGGTTGCTTTTTATAAGTACATGCCACTGTTTGGGACATTGGAGAGGATTCAGAGATAAACAAGAATACTCCCTGTTCCTGTCCTCTCAGGCCAAGCAGAATAGAGTAGATGGAAAAGCAGATGTTTAGAGAGACAGTAAAATCATTCACACAGCAGTCCACTGCCCTTGTTGGCTTAGGTCAGACTTATAGACTTCTAAATGGGTTCTTTTACTAATACAAATGCTCTTTGAGTTAAACAAACTTAGTTACTTGAGAGGAAAGGGAAAAGAAAACAGAAATTAAGGAGGCTATACATAGCCTCTTTGTGCCTTTCCTTTATTATGCTAATGTGATTAACTAATCCTTAGTAATTAGATAAGAGATAAGGGAATAATATATGTACTGTCTTCAGAATATTTGTTCTTGTTTTAACTAGAGATTTGAGTCATGGTAGCCAGTAGTGGAAAAATGAGTTTTTTTTTTTTTTTTTTTTTTTCTTCAGAAAAATGGTTTCTAAATCATAGGATTGATATTTTATTGACAGAATACCAATTAAAAGCATTTAAATAAAAGGATCCTGCCTAATTCTTTATCTTTAATATTTTGTTATTTTTATTTTATGTGTTTGAGTGTATCGTCTGCATGTGTGTAAGTGCACCCGTGTCATGCAGTGCCCATAGAGGCCAGAAGCGAGCGTCAGATTCCCCTGAAATTGGAGTTATAGACGATTGTTAGCCACCATGTGGATGCTGGGAATCGAACCCAGGTTCTCTGCAAGAACAGTCAGTGCTCTTAATTGCTGAGCCATTTC